CACCTGGGGCCTGATCCAGGCTGTAGCCAAGTATGACCCTAGGCTTTCCAGTCCAGAGCAGTTCTGGAAGGGGTAGCTATGAGCTGTCCGCAGCCAGCAGAGTGGGGGTTCTGGGGGCTGAGGGATTAATCTGCCTGGGGCACCATCAATACCCAGTTTCCCTCTGTCTGCTCCTTACTCCTTAGCAGCCCTACACAGTAGCACCTGATTCTCCAGGCTCCTGAGTCTGCGTGCCTTGCTGTCTTCTCAAGGCCATGGGCTCAGGAGATGAGAACAGCCCTGTTAGGAGAAACCAGGACCCAGGGAATTGCATCGTCTGCTTTCAAACACATCTCTGCCAGCTGTCCTTGTCCCCAGATGTCCGCTTCTGCAGGTGGGGCAGGGCTCCTGAATGTGGGGGCCTCTTGGCCCCCAAGCAGCAGTAATGGGGGAGCCCTGGGGTTTCCCCCTGCCTCATGACCCATTCTGCAGCTCAGGGGAGCCCTGTCTGCAAGCTCCCCTGCTGCCTAGGGAAGGCAGCACTAGCAGGTCTGGCTGAGCAGGCGAGGGACCCTCCGTGGGCAGCAGGAGGGGGAAGAGTGTCTGTTCAGTTAATGTTTGGGGGGACAGGGATTTGGTTTTCAGCTCGTACCTTGAAAGGAAAGGCCCCTTTGGCTCTGTGCCCATGACCCAACCAGACCTCCCACCCAGGAGGGTACTAAAGTAGTTATCTCCATAGAAAGACCCTAAAGAAGAAGGGACATTGCTTCTGGCTGGGAAGCCACAGGCAGCTTCTGAGGTGGGTATCGAGGGAGTGACCATGACCTCTGTTGTGGCTAGCTGGAGCTGAGGAGGATGTGGTGGGAAAACCCTGGTGTAGTGGAGCTTTGTTTTTTTTTTTTTTTCATGCAGGGTCTTGCTACACAGCTTGGGCTTATAGTAATCCTCTTGTCTCAGCCTCCTCAGCACTGGGATTATAGACGTGCTACACCATGCCCAGTTCCGAGGCTGGCATGGCATGCAGTCCCAGGGGTCAAACTTGGGACCTTGCACTTGCCAGGCCGGTGCTTATGCCACTGAGCTATTTCTCCAGCCCAGGGGCCTTTTTCTTAAGTCACCCTACACAACAAGCTGCTGTTGTTGCCTTTACAGATGCTAGGAGCCTGTCACTGTCTCTGCCCATTAGCCTGGGGCCACATGGACAATTCAGGTGCTTTGTTACCTTGGCAGGCAGGCCTCTGCCTGAGTAGGCGCCCCATCCCAGGGCCAGGACTGCATCCCAAGAGAACAGAAGTTGGCAAATGGGGGACAGTTTGTCCTGGAGCAGCTGTTTCACCTTGGAATGATATATTCATGTGATGATTTGTACTTTGACGTTCTTCGCTTTCTCCAGACATTTCTGAGGGCATACAGGCCTCCAGGTCTCTAGCAGGCCCATGCAGTGCTCTCAGTGGGAACGGTCTGAGCTGTTGCAGACGCTGGGCAGGACTCTGCCTGAGGGCATGGTGGGCCCAGGCAGCTGCAGGACCGGATGTGGGTGCGCTCTGGGCATCTACTCACCAGGGCACTCTGGGCAAAGCACACAGCTGCCCCATTGTGGCAGCCACATTCCTCTGAGCAGGTGGGGTGTGCCACCAGCTGGGGCATTGTGATGGCTTTTGGTTTTCACTGTGGCTAAAATAGCTGAGTTTTGATTCAACAGAACATTCAAGGTGACACCTGGATTCACAGCCAAGAAACAGGTGCCTTTGAGGAGTGGGTCCTGGGGTAGAGGTGTCCAGTGGCATTCATGATTTGCTTATGACAAAATTTACCAACTAAATCTTACAGCTTTTTACTTGCTACAAAGCAAAAAGGACCCAATTATTCCACATAGCTTGGGCAAGGGTGGCCCTGCAGAGCCCTGGGCCACCCTTATCTGATGCACAGCCCTAAGCCTGGAGGTTAGGAAGTCTTGTCTGAAGCCACTGTGCCATGTGGGGCCAAGGCTGCACCTATAATAACCTGCGGGCCCCTCTAGGATGGAGAAGAAAGGAGCCCGCAGCACCTTGCTGCAGGCTGTCGCAAGGCTTAGGGCTTAGAGTGGGCAAGTTAGGGAATACAGAATTTATTTCTTAGTTCCAGGGGCCAGGAAGCCTGCAGCAGGTTCCAAGCCTGTGAGGGCCTGTTCTTCACAGATGGTGCCCTCTGGCTGTGTCCTCACAGGGCAGAGGGGCACAGGAGCGCCCACTGGCCTTCCATCAGAGCACTAATGCCATGCACGAGAGCTCTCCTCTCGTGGGCCAAGCACCGCCCAAGGCCCACCTTGTAGTACTCGTGCACTGATGCAGATGCACACATTCAGAGTGTCCAGGCCACCACATTGGCCATGAAGTCAGGACCTCCCCACTGCACTTTGGGCCATGTTCCAGACAAGATCGTGCAGGGCAATAGCTGCAGCAGGAATGAGAATGCGGGCACAACCTCAAGCTCTGAGCATGGGCACTTTCTGGTTAGGGTTCACTTGAACCCAGCTCCCCTTTCCCTGTGCCTGTATCCCGCAGGAAGCAGGTGCACTACAGACATGGCCTTCCCAGGAACCTCTGGCCGCTGTGCCTGCCAGAGTCTGTTACTTGAGACACTTGGGCTTAGGCTGGACTTGGTGTTTCTTCTTACACATCTGCTCAGGCAGGGAACAGGCAGCGTGGCCAGGGAGAGGAAAGGGTAGGTCTTCCCCTGTGGCTTCCGAGTCCTGGCTTGTCCTGGCCTCACCCTAGGCCTGCTCATCCAGGATAGCCTGGCCCAGGCACACACAGCTTGACATGCAGGCTGGGCCTTCTTCTCTTTCTTGTGTGCCACCCTGCTTAGCTGCTCAAGAGAGTGGCTGAGGGGCAGAAGGAACCACAGAGATCCATCCTTCTAGGCATCTGGGGCCTCTGCCATGCCGGGTGTCAGATTCACCTTTGGAAAATGCTGACCTGGGAGTGTTTCTCCAGTGGGAGAAGGAATGTGGTCTGGGCACACGGGGGATGCCCTGAATCCTGGCACAGCCCAGGGTGGGGCTCACAGCAAGCTCTGGGGCCTCTGTGGTCTGGGGTAGCATCTCTGGTTGAATTGGTGGCCTGGTCCCTCTCTGCTAGGTCCTAGTGCTGTCCCTGAGCCTTTCCCTTTCTCATGGAGTTAGAAAGTTCCAAGAGCAGGTAGATTTCCTCTGTGGAGTGTTCACGAACGATGAGCACAACCCCAGCAGGCACAGCCAGCTTCCGCCTTTTATTTTCTATCTGCTGAGCCTCTTCCAGCAGCTCATTTGCTGTTGACAGCCAGTGGTCATTTTTATTTCAAAGTCACACACACACACACACACACACACACACACACTACAGCCTTTGAAAGGATCAGGGCCCTTGGGACAGACAGGTCTGTGCTCATGGCATTGGTGGGTGTGTGGGGCCCGAGACACAGGTGCTCCAGGTCCCGGCTGCAGAGAAAGCAAAGGCTGTAGTTCCTGTCCCTTGGTCTGTGTACAGCTCTTCCTTGTCAGGATGTCTAGGGCTGGGCCTGCACCATGAGTACCTGCACTGCCATAGCCTTTGTCCTGTCTGCTGCTACACTAAGCATCTGGCTTGGAGAGGGCCCAGATTTGTCCACCTTGAGGGCTGCTGGGTATCTGCACCCACCTGTGCACTGGCAGACCTGTGCCCTCTTCGGCGGGCGGCTCCAAGGAGCGCTGGCCTGCACAGCCTTGAAGCTGTGTGCAAGCCGCAGCTGCGGCTTGGTAGGCCTCAGAGCAGTGCGGGCAAGCAGGGAAGCTCTCATACAGCCATGTTCTCTCTGGGGCCTCCCAGGGCCCTGTGAGAAAGCAGAAGCAGCCTGGAGCCGGGGCTCCTCTGGTGCGTCAGTGGGGATGCCCCTCCCACGCAGTGTCTGTGGGAAGCCCAGGCCACAGCCCTGTAGACTCGACATCTGCATCTCCAGACAGGGCCTAGAACTCACAGACACCTGGCTCCTTGGGTAGTTCTGATGTGCCCCAGGCTCAGGGCATCAGTGCACACAGGAACACAAGCAGAAACCCAGCCTGTCTCTCCCTGGCCAGTCACTGGAAGTGGGTGGCGTGGGCAGTGTGGCCCCGTGTACAGCAGTGCAGCCAGGGATGTTTCCATTTAACTCAGACCTCTTCTCATGGGGACACTGCTTTGTGTGCGCATGCCAAGCTCACTGTTCCCTGTTTGGGGTGGTGGCACACAGATCAGGCCTGGAAGTATACACTGCAGCTAGCCATCCTTGTGTGGGGACTTGAGCTACTCTGTTTTTAGAATGACTGGGAATATTTATGTAAGGGCTGGTAGTGTAGCTCAGGGGTAGATCATGCGTTGAACACGTGCAAAACACCTGCCAAATACTCACATTAGTGAATTTCTACACATACCTTAAATTATCCTCAAAGTAAAAATCCTAGTACATTTGGATGGGCTTGCATGGGTTCTATAGCCTTAACTTCAGCCAACTTGGATTGAAAAAAATTCAGAAAAAGCATCCATACTAAACACGTGTAACTTCCTTTTCTTACCACTATTCCCTAAATAATGTAATATTCATAGCATTTACCTTGTAATAGGCATCGCAAGTAACCCAGAGATTAAAGAATATGAGAATATGCCTGGGTTCCATGCAAGTACTGCATCATTGTACATCAAGGACCCAGGCAATGAGGGTCCTGGAGCCAGGCCCAGATGCAGAGGGACGGTGTGGAATGGCTACATTGAAGGCCGTCCTTCTGAGAGGTGGACAGGAAGTAGTGTGGGTCTGCTTCGCTGCAGCTTCCCCAAGCTGGTCATTTACCTTTTTGCTCTTTGACAGTCAAGTAGGTGAGGAGCTGAGTTTTGCATTTCTAATTAGCACAGGGTTGGCCGGCCACAGTGCTTCCTCATGAGTACAACCTGGAAGACCAAGTACCAGCAAGGCTCTGGGTCAGTTGTTTTGGGTGCGTGACTTCGGGAGAGAGCGTGGCCCTTTTAGTAACCTGTGTGTCTGCCCTTTCACAGAATTGTCAGACCTTCAGCAGCCTCAGCTGCCTGAGCACAGGGACGGAGGACTACAGCCCCCAGAGCCCCTTCGCTGTCCACACCAGCAGCACTCGGTCCTGGGCCACCTTGCTCTCAGCTTCCAGCCCAGGGGGCAGGACCCCTGCTGGGACCCCAGTCCCTGAGCCTTTCCCCCCCTCCTTTGATGACCATCGCCTCATCTGCCAGGAGGACCTGTCCTGTGAGGAGTCAGACGGCTACACCCTGGATGAGGACTGTGGCAGAAAGGGGGAGCTGGCCCCAGCCTGGAGGGACTGTGGAGCCACTGGGAACAGCCTCTGCTCCCTGGATGGCGAGTTGGACATTGAGCAGATAGAGAACAACTGAGGGGTCGGGGCCCTGGTCCAAGCTGGGGCTGCTTCCCTTTGGGCCCTATATGGACACTTGCAGGGGTACCCCAGGGAATTGTTCTCTGGCTCCATGAAAGCTGGTTGGGCCGGGCCCATAGTGGGCCACCTCAGCTGCTCACCAGCTGCCCAGCACATCAGCCAGCAGGTCCACGGAACTACTGTAGCCCACAGAGCAGCTTTTTCGTTTGTTCTTTTCTGCCTTGTTCCTTGTGGGATGTTGGCAGTTATTCCCGGCAGGGCTAAGCCCACATTGGACCCCTCAGTGGGGATGTGGTGGTGGGGCTCAGGGCCAGGTCCCTTGGGCCGTGTCTGGGCCCTGCTGGCCCCCTCAGGTTCGCTCGGAGCCGGCCCCAGTCTTTCATTCCGTTTATTCTGTGCCTTTTTTCCCAGGCCTCTGCTCCTGGGAAGGCTTGGGGAACACGCCTTCTGTCGTAACAGCAGAACCATTTGGCCTTAATCCTGCATGGGGGCGCTGGTGTGGTCCTCTCAGAGGGTCAGCCTGGGTCTAGACTTGTGCCAGGAAATGACTCAGTCGTGTTGGAGGCCATCTGCATCTGGCAGATGCTTGGTGGACCTGTCGGCTGAAAGGCAGAGCCACTTGCCCCTCGAGGTCACGGAGCACCTGCTCCCCCATGCCCTGGGAGGGGCTGCCAGGCTGCTGGCAATGGCAGCCATCTCCATGGTGCACCAGCCCCTGAATCACGAGCTTGGTTCATGCAGGCGAGTGAAGAGATGTCGTGACAGAAGGGCGACTTCCTAAAAGGAATGTGAGCAGGTGCACAAGTCCAGGCCCTGTGCAGGCTTCCCGGGTGAAGAATGTCTGGGGCGGTTCTTGGGGGCCAGGGAGGGCCTTTGCACTCCCTGCAGCATCCCCAGGCTCTCCAGTGTTCACGGGCACCGGGCTTTAGTCAGAGTACACTGTTCCCTGCAAGACATGCAGCCCTGTCTGCGGAGGGAGCCGTCCTGGGTGTTGTCTGCCTAAGGCAGTGCAGCCACCAGCCCCTCCCCTGGCACAGCCCTCCCTCCGGCTATGTGCTCAGGAGCCCCCAGCCCACCTCACACACATCACAAGGCTCCATGCTCTGGGAATCTGGCTTTTAGCAAACTTGGCATCTTCTAGGAACAATAGCAAGTGCGCTTGCCTATGAATGGCTCGCGTTCCCATGAGGCTGAGCATCTCTGGTGTGTTCTGCTTTCGCTGAGGTGTGATCAGGACACTTTCACAGTCACTTTGCTTTGCTTCCCTTCCATGGACCTGTGAGCGCCTCACTTCTGCAGGTGGGTCCAAATGCTTCTCACCTTTCTCCAAGAAAAAACCTGGTTGAAAAACTTTAATTTTAAACCTTCACATTTTATTACACCAGAGGGGTAGTGGCTCTGGTTCTGATTTGTAGCTGGCAGTTCTTTAAAATCAGCCAGAAGGTGCTTGCAGGAAGCCCCATCTACATGGCCCCCAGTGGCCACGTGGACAGCCTCGGGGTGGGGTAGCAGAGCACTGTGCCTGGCACAGTTTGTGGGGGGACCTGGTGCAGCTCAGTTTGCCGTGGCTCCTACTGGAGGCCTGAAAAGCCAAACCACAGTGCAGGCAGCGCTGGGCAGACAAAGATGTGGTACCTCAGTCCTGCCTGCGGATGGTGGAGGCCCTGTCTTCTCAGAGCAAGTCTAGAGGAAGAGGAAGGTAGTTGAGAGCATGTGGCCAACACATGTCAGTGCCTGTCCCCCAGAAAAACAGGGTGGGGGTTCTGGTACCTGGTGTGGTCATACCAGGGGTGGGACAGAGGTAGGCTTCCATCAGGTCCTCTCGGTGGGGCCAGCAGCCAACAGCTACCATTCCTAAGGGCTGGGATAGGAGGTACCTGCTGGCAGGTGTGTCAGCGCTCTAGTGTGGGTGACCTGTCCTCAGACCCTATCCCCTACCATGTGGTGGAAGGACAGCCACTGGGGCTCACTGAGCCACAGCCCCGTCCTCTTCACCTCCCCCTGCCCGGGGCACTTCAGGACAGATGCCCAGGCCCATGTGGCATTTGGCCCTCTGCAGCCTCACAGGCCCTTTTAACTGTTCTGATCCCACTAATACTCGTGGACACAGCAGGGCACCTGAGGGATAAGATGGTGTCCATTCTGGTTCCAGAAAGAAATGACCCCCAGTTCACTTTGTGGTTTAGATTGGACAGAGCGGGCCTCATCGAGGAGGTGGCCCACTGACTTTTCGGTGGCCACACCATTCTGTGCCCCCTCTGCTGGCCCCAGGACTCTGCTTTGGTACTCCTGGGCGGGAGGAGCACCCAGGAGGTGGGCTCACCCTCACCAGCGTGGTAGCCTGAGCTGGCGTTGGCAGCCGAAGCCTTGCCTTCTCGGGTCTGACTGTGAGTCCTGCCCTGGGTGGAGGCTGAGAAGGTTGAGGTCTTGGAGAGTAGGCTAAGTCAGGCCAGCCACATGGCTGGAGGCCTGGAGGAGTGAGTGCAAAGGAGGAAGAGGGGTTTCCTGACACATGGCGTCCCCATGCTCTCTGGAAGCCACTGGACAGGAGCTGCCTTCCGTTAAGGTGCCGGGGCCGCAGCCCAGCGTTTACATGACTGCAAACCCTCTTGCCTTATTCTCGGGCAGTGGAGGCCACAGCCTGGCCCAGAGCTCAGGAAACACTCATGTCCAGGCCCCAGGGATCTTGTTCTTGTCATACATGGGGATTTTCATTCTGAGAAAGCTTTACTTTTCAGTACCACTTTTGTATCAGAAAAGGTTTTGAATTTGTACGCTGAATGAAAACTTAAGGAAAAGGCCACATAAAAATAAAAACCAATTTTGAGATGGGGCTCCCAGTGCAGAGGAGTGTGATGCTCTGACACTCCCAAGGGGCGTGTCTGCCCGAGCAAGCTCCCACCGCAGCTAAAGCACATGCTCAGGCCTGTGCCCCACATGTCCCTGGTGGCCATGGGATGGAAGCTGAACCCCTGGGGCTCTGCCCAAGTAGGTGGTGATGCTGCACCTTGCCACAGCCATGCTGCTGACCAAACCCCTCCCACTGGCGCCAGAGAAAACTGCTTAAGAGAGATGAGAAAGGCTTAACAAGCTGCAGCCCCAAGTGGAGCTCTTGTAGCCGAGGTAGGATAGTCTGACCTAGCATAGTTTGTTGGCAAATGAATTGAGCTGTCGGTGCGTGGGGGCAACGTTGGGAGCTGGGGGACAGACAACACGTAGGCCACACTAGGGTTATGTGTATTGCTCCCGCACCCCTGCAGTGTCGCCGCACAGAGCTTCAGGAGTCGCAGCAGCAGCCAGGGTAGTGCTCTGCCAGGTCCTGCTAGAGTCCAGCAGTCTGCACCGAGGCCCTGGGTCGGTCCTACCACCGCTGCCCTCCACATCCTGCCCTCCCACGCAGGCCATGACTGTCTTGCACTAGAGCCGCTCTAGTCTCAGGAATTTGCTTGTTACTTTTACTGTGTAAATAAAGCTTCCTGGTTCAATACCCAGTTACTGGGGTATGGCTTTGTGGTTTCTGTTGGACACGGTGAACTGGCAGGTCCTCCTCCCCTCTGCCCTCTGCCCTCTAGGCTTGGGGAAGCACAGATGTCACAGTCTTTGTCACAGAGCTGGAGACAGGCTTCCCTGAAGGACGGAGACGCTTGCGTCACCTGTGGGCGGGAGTGGCGGAGGAGGCTCCTGAGAGCTGGTGGGCTCAGCTTCAGCCTTGGTCAGAGGCAGGGCTGTGTGCATCGCACTCCTCGTCTTGCTACAGAGAAGTAACCAGCCTGACCTGGAGCTGGAAGGCCACCAGGACAGCCCAGAAGGTGGGTGGCCCAGGCTGGCCTGCCAGCTCTAGGGCTTTGTCTTATTTTTCTCTGGTTGCTGAGACAGAATACACCCAGAATTAAGGAAGGAAAAGTTTACTTACCTCACAGTTAGCAGAGGTTTCAGTCCATATGGCTGGCTCCAAACAGAGTGGGCATGGAAGAGGGCAGCAGTTCACGGCAGCAGAAAACAGCGAAATCAACAAGAGGAAACAAGGAATAGCAGCTGCTAGCAAGCCTCTCAACCTCCCATTTACTGCCGTCCGCCCCAGGGCCTGTGTAGCACTCACACCCACAATCCCAGCATTGAATCATGAATGAATCACAAACTCCAGAAGCCCACCGCAGGACTGCGCATGAGGCTGTAGGGGGAGAACTAGACACAAACCATCTTAGGGCCTCTATCTCCAGCATAGGGCCAACCTCCACTTCCTGGGCTATGAGGACACCAGCACAAACAGCTCAGCTTAGTATGGGCCATACACAGTCTGCTTCCTGGCCCTTCAAACTAGGTTCCCCGGGAACAAAGCTCGGGAAGGACAGGGTCAGCAGCCCCAAGCATAGCTGTAGGGAGGTATACTCCATTTCTGTAACCCATCCTTTGTTATAAAAATCTGTCCTTTAGAGTTTTTGCCTCAACCAGCTGCTAAGGCCTGAGGAGCCTCTCGGAGTGAGCCCTGGAGTGCTTTGCTTTCTGGGCTGTTTCCAACAGCAGATCCTATATTACATAAGGTCTATGAGCACCTTGCTCAAACAAAGGTGAAGCGAGGCTACTAGGATGCAGTGGGCCCCATCCCTCTGCAGCTCTGCCACAGCCAGGGCCAGCAATCCACTGATCTTAGCCCCTCCTCTGCCTTGCATATCGGGTGCATGCCTGGAGGGGCAGAGGCCAAGGGAGGTTTCTATAAAGCCCAGTGTGGGCCCCTGTGTTACCTGCCTGAGGGGAGGGCACAGAGGAGCCCGTTACCTCTACCCCAGATGGCTCTCCAGCCCTCTGCCCTGGTGCATTCGCCCCACAGCTGCATCCTCTGCCCAGGAGGTTTGGTAAAACCAGGACACAGCTCCCTGACAGGCTGTGGAGCTCCCTGGGCAGCAGCTCCACCTGCTGTTCTGCTGTCAGGCCCAGGTGTGGGGCTCATCCCATCACAGTCCCCAAGCCAGGCTGGCTCACAGGTGCATCTGACGGGGCCCCGGCGGCAGGCAGACCCCTTGTCTGTACATAGGGATCACAACCCTCATGGGCTTCCATGACAGAAGCAATGCCACCCCCACCACACTGAACGCCAGCACTGTCCAGAGGCTGAGAGGAAATGTGCCAGTCAGGGCAGAGGCCAGACCTTGAATGGAGTTTGGTTTTTTATATTTTTCTGTTAAATTTCATACAATAGTGTATGTATTGCTTCTATAATCAAAAAACAAATCAAAATTAAAGGAAAAAAAACCCACCAAGCACCCAATATATTTATCATCTGAGGGAAAGCTGGAGCTCTCAGGAATCATGCTGGGATGCCCTGGAGCCCCCTGGAGGCATGCCACATGTCAGTCCCTCCTGCATCACCACCTCTGCTCTAAGCCGAACATGCAGGAGCCTGTCCACCTGCCTAACCATCTGCCACAGGACACAACACAGGGTCAGCAGCAGCCAGGGCCACGGTAGGGGAGCCTTCCAGAAAGACTAAAAGAGAAAGGAATGCAGGACCAGATCTTGATTTGGCTCTCCAATCAGTCCCTTACTGCTCGATGGCCCTTGGACAGGTAAGTCATGGTATCTCCTGTGCCTCAGGTCATCTGTAAAATGGGAAGAATGACAGCATCTACTTCACTAAGCCTGCTGTAGCTCGGAGAGCAGTGTTCTCTGCCAAGTGAAAGGCGGAGCGTACACATTGCACCAAAGCAACTCTTCAAGAGGAGTCATCTCGGTTTATCTTGGAGACCAGCGTCCTTCCTCCATGCAGGTGGCCCTGACTGCACACACTTGCGAAGGGGAGCTAGGAAGGAAGGCCACTTAAAAATGGAAGACAACGGGAAAACAGACTCACAGCACACAGTACCATTGCATCGCTCTGCAGCTGTGCTGGCGGCCACATCCGGGACCTGCACATGCTCCTGTCCTAACAGGCTATGATGGGGGCTCCGTCAAAGAGCAGCCATCTGTGTATTTCACATCTGAGAGGCCAAAGGCCTTCCCTCAGATGCCAGTGACACCAGCTTGGCTGGTGGCCTCACGCCTTGATGAAAAGACCTGGCCACTGTTTCCTCCTAATCCTGACAATAGTGGCCAGCATGTCCGCAAGACCCTTGTCACCTCATGGCTAGTGAGCCATGGGGACTCTGGCTTCAGGGTCTAGTCCTTTATCACTGCCTGCTTGGTTCAACAGAAGCCCTGTTACAGAGGGCCTGACTTCTTTCATGGAAAGCTGCTTCCTGAGATTTCTCGGCGGCTTTGGAGAAAAACAGCAGTCAAGGCAACCATTCAACACGCTGACTTTAAAGCTGAAAGGGGTGAGGAGTGAGGTGGGGTACAGAGGCTCCACAGCTTGGGTCTGAAAAATGCTCTTAGCCATTGGGGCCTCCCTAGTGAAGCGCTGTGGTTGAGATGTGGTCTAAGGGAGTTCTCTCAAAGGTTCACACACTGACGGCCTGACTAGTCAGGGTGGCAGGAGCTGCCAGGGCCTAGATGGAGTCTAGTCGGAGAGCAGTAGGTCAGCTGGGTATGTGCCCTGGAAAGGGAACTTGTACCCTGACTCTGGCTTCTTTCTTCCCCACCTGACCTCCTGCTGTGTTCCTGTGCCAACGTGCCACCAGGAGCCGATGCCCAGCTGATCCAGGGGCTATGTATGCCCTTTGTCTCCAAAAGTGAACTAAATAACCCTGTCTTTTTAAAGTTAGCCCGCCTCAGTTATTCTGCTGAAATAATGAAAAATGAACTAATAGGGGAAGGCAGTGCCAGTGTGTGCCCCGGTCTGACTTTTCCCAGGTGAGGCTGAGAGTGGCTCAGTCCCCCCTGGGCCTCAGTTTCCTTACCTGTTAAACAGAGATCAGATAAGTGGTCATACCCCTGCCCCTCTGACATTCAGTGGCACCAGCACATGGCAGGAGCAGGGACAGTGTTTGACACCCTGCCAGGTCCCTTTCCCACACCCCACGGGGTCCTTTGTAACAGTCAAAGCCAGGTCGAAGGCTGCTGGCCCATGGCCAAGTTTATTGAGCCATTGGTTTCTCCTGTACACACAGGCGTGACACAGGCTACCCTGGGCGGGCTCCCGCGTGCTTTCTGTGCCTGCAGCCTTGAGGACGGAGCTGGGGACTGTGGCTCTGGAAGGGGGCATCTTATTTCCGGGGAGGGCGAGGGCTCATCAGCCACTCCCCTGAGCAGGGGAGGCTGGCTTGGCTGGGGGTGCGAGGTGTGTGGACATGGAGCCCTGGGCCTTCTCAGGCTCTTGAGCCGGACACTTGGGTGTGAAGAGGCGGTGGGCAACTCAATGACTGCATCCTGCTGGGGGCAGGTGAGGACTCGGGTCATTCTCTGGAGGCCTGCTGATCTGAGCCACCTCCTGGACCTCACCCTGGGGACAGACCTGTGCCTGGCAGGCTGGGAGGGGGCCTGGCTGGTTCCGGCCCAGGGTCAAGGCAGCCTGGAACTGCCCTCACCTGCCCGTGCCAGGCGAGGAGGTCAGGGGCAGTGGTGGAAGGGGCTGAGCCCTCTCTGCAGGCCTGTCACTTGTCCAGATGCTGCAGCAGCAGGTCCACAGCCTCTGCAAGGTTGTCCACATAGCCATCAGCTTTTACTTCTGGATGGTGCTCATCACTGGGCCTGGAGAGGGGGCCACACGTTAGTTTGATGGAGTATCAGTCCGGGTTTCATCACTATACTAAATGCCTAAAGTTGTCTTAAGTTAAGCTTTATTATACACTGAAGCTCCACAGTGAGACCATTGCTTGGCTTCTGTTAACAGCAGATGGCATCATGGCAGGAGGGAGCGACAGCGGCCAGGCTTTCCCAACAGCTCACTCTTGAGAAAACTCCCCCCCAACACACACACCCCTCAGTCCCGCCCAAGGGCAGTGTGCCAAGGACCAAGCACTAGGCTCCATCTCTTAAGGATCCAGCCCCTTCCCACACTGGAGACCAAGCTCCGGCCCATGAACCCTGGGCTGCACCCGAATCTTAGCAGCCAAGGATTCCACAAGAACCCCACCATGCGACTGCAGCAAAGGTGCTGTCCAGCACCTAGTGCAGGTCTCGCCTTACCTCCTCTCCCACCTTCACAGGCACGCATGCCTCCCACTTAAAATTCCCTCCTTCTGACACCTCCCCAGATTGTCTCCGGTTAGGTACAAAGCCTGCAGCCAGGAACCACGGGCCTCGGCTCCATCTGTGCATGCGGCAGTAGCAGCACGCTGGGGACAGCAGGGTCCTGAGCTTGGCACCAAGCTCTCTGGGGACTCAGCCCCCACCCCTGGCCTGGCCTGGGCTGGGGGAGGAACAAGCACGTGTGCACTGTGGGGACCCAGAGCCTCGTACCATCGGTCAGTGCCCTTTGAAGCCACTCTTGCCTGATATGGAAGGTACCAGGCTCCTGGAAAAGCCACTCTGGCTGGGGTTCATCCATTCACTAGTGCTGTCCTGAGGCCTGACTGGAAGCTGCCTATGGGGCCCTGCTGGGGGATATGGGGTCAGGGGCTATGGTGGAGTCCTGAAATTGGCAAGGGCCACAGGCAGACCTGTAGCTAGGAGACAGGACCCCGCACAGGAAGAGGTCGGGGTGGGCTTGTCTTGACAGTCATTTGAAAAGGCAGGACCTCATTCCAGGACCTTAGGCAGCCCTCCGCACTGTTTCCAGGCTGAGCCCTGGCTTGGCACCCTGGGAGAGATCAGTGGTGTTTGGCAGAAGGTAGGGGCTGACCCTCTGCAAGCCCTGCACTCCTGAGGGACACGCTGGAGGGTGGCCTCCCCGGGAAAACCAGCACCACCACCTCAGGAACTCCCACCCTGGCCTGGAAGTGGTTGAGTTGCTCTTGTAACATCTAAATGACATCTTGTCCCTTTCAAAGAGTTTTGTTTAATGAGCTTTACCCTAAAATGACAGGCATGTGCAGAGGCATTTTTTCTTTGTAAAGGTTTCAGGGCCGGCCAGATAGCTCAGCAGACTAAAGCACCTGCTTAGGCAGAGGCAGCAGCCAGTGTGCCGTACCAGCCCTGCCCCCGGAGTGTGCTGAGAGGGCAATTAAGATTGGGTGTGGTCGGGGGGCTGGTGAGATGGCTCAGTGGTCTAAAGCACCTACTTAGAACAAACTAAAAGCACAGGGACCGCGGTTCACTTCCCCAGCACCACATGCCAGCCAGCACCGCCCCCTGGTGGGCTGAGCTGCCCCCCTCTACAAATAAATAAAATTAAAAAAAAAAAAAAAAAGATTGGGTGTGGTAGTGCACGTCTAATCCCAGCGCTTGGGAAGCTGAAAACAAGAGAATCACTACAAGTCTGATCTACGCAGTGAGGCCCTGTAGACCCTGTACTAAATACATAAAAAAAATAAAGGGTTTCAGTTTAGTGATCTGCAGCTTGCCTCCTGGCAGGGAGTCTCTGCAGGGAGTGTTGAGGCTGCTGGACCTGGAAGGGGGAGCTCCAGGGGTAGCCCTTAGGAGGGTGGGGCAGCAGAGACATCCTTTACGACCAGGGAGGGTACAGCCTTTGGCTCTACCCAGTCCCTAGGCCTCCTCACCGATGCCCGTGTCCCCATGCCTCCTCCCAGGAACCCCCTTGTTCACCCATCTTCTTGCGTAGTGCAGAGGCCTTCGCTACCTAGAACGCTCTCCTAGCACAGCAGCCACGGGTCTCGCAGATGCTGTTCCCACACATGCTCCAGGGGAGAGGTGGTCACTCCCACCTTATGGGAAGAAATGGTCAGAGAGGTTCAGAGCTTTGCTCAAGGTCACAGTGGGGAGGGAGAGGAGGTCTGACCCAGTTCTAGTCCCAGAGTAGCTAGGTATTTCCAGTCTTTCCAGGAAGGGCACTAGGGTCCACAGCACCTCTCCAAATACCAGGGCACCCATCCATGCCAGCACCAGTGGACATCACTCGCTGGCCTCCCTGAGTCAGGTGATTCTGCTGCTTCACGAGAGGTGCCTGCCAGGCTGAGGCCACAGACCATAGGCCTTGGGGACAAGTGTGCAGGAACTACCCACTTCACTGGCAGGTCAAGGTGGGCAGACCTGTGTGTCAGTGCTGGTACTTGAAGGCTAGGGTTTCCCTTGTGTTGTTGAGACACAAGTGAATGAGGGTTGCAGTGAAGACTTTCATTATCCTGTGTCAGTGCGGAACTATGTTGGTCACCGTCAAAGAGTACAGGGTGCAGACACAGCAGAAAACTGCTGATACCTACTGTCACCCACCAGCTGCTCCCCTAAGAGTGCACGCAGCCGATGCGCCCCTATAGGTCACCAGCAGACTTGTGTTAGGACATTCCAAGCAGCCTTTGAGGTAACGGCCAAAAACCCAGACCCTGCCCAGACGGCCCCCAGTGGGGGATAGAAAGCACAGATCTGTACTTCAGAGCAGCACCCTCTACCTGGGACAAGGTCTCTGCCACTGTGGTGAGCAGCAGACGCCACACTCAAGGAGTACTGAGCACCTCAGGGTGCTGGAGGGCTGCACCCCAAGAACGCTTGCTGTTCCCTTTCATTGTTCTTTACTATGAATGCTCAACCTCAGAAAGTCACTAAAGAAGCCAAATTTGACGCTCAGGTACAAGAAATCCATACCACCGCTGGCTACTCTGTGGCTCCAGGGCTGGCAAACTAATCCTGGCTGCAGCCTCATTTAATATGTCTAAAGGGTAGTTTAACAAAAAAAAAAAGAAAGAAAGAAAGAAAGAAAGAAAGAAAGAAAGAAAGAAAGAAAGAAAGAAAGAAAGAAATGTGCCATAGAAACTACATGTAGCCTGCAAAACTAGTTACTCTTCAGGCCCGCGGAGAAGGCCTGGCTGCCTGGCCCAGGCCTCTGCCATGCAGGCCCTCTGCAGCCAGCTCCTGCTGAGAGCATGGCTTTCCTCTTGTAGCCCCGACTTACGACTTACGAGGGACTAGGGGGCTGTGGGCTGGCCACGTGGGCTTCAGGCCATGGGCTGCCACGAGCCAGCTGCCCTGCTCCCAGGGCCCTTGTGATTCCCAGCCTTTCTGACCAGAACAGGGAGGTTAGCGCAGTGGGTCCTGATTAATCAGCCCCAGCCAGGGCTCTCCTCTGGACAACTTCACCAAGGGCCTTCAGGCTAGGCTTACTGTCCCAAGTGAAGTCAACCCAAGAGGGAACACAAACGCCCCACCAAGAGAAGACACTAGAAGTCGCCCGCCAGCCACAGGGCACGGTTGGCACCTAGCTGCATGGCATGTATGGCTCAGTATGTTTAATTACATATTATTTAAATGCAAGAATCTACTAAAAGAAAGCATTACAGTAGCGGTCGGTCAGTGTTTGCCCACCCATGGCAGAAATCAGTGGACTTTTCATTATGTGGTGCTGCCGTGGCTTCTGCTCTAGAGGAGCTGGGCCTAGAGGCAGGGACCCGCCCAGCCCTGAGCAGCTCTGCTCTGTCCAATGGGCCGGGTAGGAGAGGAGCCTGCTCCACAGCTGGCCCGCACCCTCTCACCTGTGGGCCTCAAAATATCACACTATCGAGGCTAAAGTGAGAAACCCAGCAATGTCAGGCTCCACGGCAGTGGGGACAGCAGCTGAGGAGACAGGGAGGGGGAGGGACTCACCTGCCTGAGCAGATGTGAGCCGGAGGCTGGCACAGGAGCCTAGGAGGAGATGGGGGACGCAGCAACACAGTGACCGTGGCACACACAGGATGGAGGGGGAAACAGCCCTAGAGGAAGGGGACAGCGCACAAAGGGTGAGGTAGGGGCCAGCGCCACCTTAGTGGTGTGTGCTTGCGTGCACCCCTTAGGGCGATTGCTGCAAAGGCTTAGCTGACAGCTCCCCATGGAAATCGCAACACTGCCCAGAGCCCCGGCACGGCCCCCACCTACACTGTGGCCTGGGGAAGATCGCTCTGCCCGCCACCACCACCAGAGCCTCTCTCACTCACGCCCTCCTGAACCGGCTCCTCTCTGGCCCCTCCCTACTCTTCCCCATTCAGTGTAGCTGTTTAGCTGCTTCAGAATGCTCACCTGCACCCTGACCCTGCTGGGTAAACTGCCGTGGCTCCTGCTGTCCATGTCACAGCCCAGCAGAGCAGAGGAGTCATCCTGACGGGGCCAGAGCTCTACGTATTACCCACTCAGCGCCAGGCACACCTGCTTTCCCATACCTTCATGCCACTGTCCACGATGTGCCCCCCCAACGCTCTTGAAACTTGCTCCACTGTTAACTCCTATGCACTCCTCAAGGTCCCACCTACTATGTCCCCATCATTGACTGCTCTGTCCCATACAGTGAGTTGCTCTCTCCTCTGAGCACACAGATCTTGGTTTGTGTCCCCAGAGACCACTGCAGCTGGGAACTACCCTGCCTCTTCACCTGCCAACACCTGTGCTGGAGGAAGAGGCCAGTTTCTTGCCTGCCGTGGACCCCGTGCAGGCCTGGTCTGAGCAGGCACCCAGGAAGTGGCCCCCCCAATGGTGAACAAAGGGCCTCAAGCAGGCAAGGTGCCACCTGTCATCAGGGGCTCCTCCCTGTCGCACCCTGAGCCACATGCAGGGTGTGAACGAGAGCAGCACACAGGGCAGTTCTGCGCATACTACCAGCACAGCTCCGCGGGGAGACTTCCCAATGGTCGAAGCAGGGCTGGCAGACACCTTGGCACTAGCATTCG